TGCTAATTGTTAGCTCTCACAGTCCTGTTAACAGCATGTATAACAACAAAAGCTGACACTTCCAAATCCTTTCAAGAAATCCCCACAGACCAAACAGATTTTTGTATTTACTACTCATGTGTTTTCATGGCTATTATTGAAGAAGTTCTGTTAGAAATGCCCACTGAGAGGCAGTAATTTCTGCTGTGTATTGAAAGGAACTATTACAGGGAGATTTTCAGGGAAGTCAGACTTTTAAACAGACTTCTAAACTCATAAAGCATTAGTGGAAATTTCTGGGAGGGAAGTGCAAAGATATCCGAATTGTTAATATTACAAAAAATAAGCAATTAAAAACTCCACATTAGATGAAGGGGAAAGACTACAGGACCGGATCAATACAATGTCTTACAGATTTCAAAGATCAAGTTTTTTGATAACTATGTTTATGAGAAAAATATATGGAGGTTATTTTCCATGTCTAAAATGAAGAATAATAATTTTAGAAAACATTTGACCAAGGTAATGGCTTTACTATTATGCAAATATATGTTAAAAAAGTAGACAACAGAATGAGATAGTAGAAAAAAAAGTAAAAGTAATATAAGATGAAAGATGTTTCCTTTGAACTGTAAAGAATGAGAAAGCAAATGCCATCAAAGAAATAATAGTATTTTTTAGCTTCTTTAATCAGTAAAATTATTTGTTAAGAATGTCTTTAATCAAAATAACGGTCCTTTCCTGTTATGGCCCATTCTCTCAATTTTGTGTGACCATTGGAGACTGTAATTTACACACATGCATATGTGTAAATACTCATAATTCCAAGTTATCGGTTTCTGAATTCTTCACTGCTTTAGAGTCTTATTTCACCTAGAATAATGACACACAAGTACAACAATACAAAATAAAATCTAACAGACTAGAGAACTTGATTTTTTGGTAAATTCCTATATACCACTTTCAGAAAGACAGTTTTGCAGGAGCCGTGAATTATATTGCTGTTAAGATCTAAGATATTATCAAATAGATTTGTTATGAAAATAGCAAGATATTGTATAATATAGAGATATATACATCTATTGCTACACACTAAGTATAATTTCTAAAATAGATGTATAATTAATGTGAACCAAATGTGTCTAAATTTAGTTTCATTTCTACTGGATAAGCATAGAAGGACAAATTCTGCCAATGAGAAATCTGGTTATTAATTTAAATGAACCGGTCACAGTGGGAGACTTGATACCTGTTGGCAAATGTGTTCCCATTGAACATTGAGCTCCTTTAGTTCTGTCTCTATTCTGGAAGCAAATTCTGGCTCTGCTTCACTCTTCATTTTCTTCCCAACCTCATTAACACTGTTCAAACTGGGCTGGATTGTCTGGATATCATTTACTAAAGCCTAAAGGAACAGTAGAAGATTAGGCAAGCAGCATTCACGCAAATTTTCAGATATATGATTCCTGTCAAACCATGTCTACATGAGATTCTGACATGTCTTTGGTCCGGATCTCCAGTCAAATGAGCACAATTTACAGACTTAATTATGAAAATAAATAAAAAAGGAATGAACAACTGTAATGTGGTAAGCTATTCTATATCAGATAAAGTTAATTTGCAAAATATGTAACATAAAGCTTTAAAACGATATATATACACACACGTATTGTGTTATATTACATATATCTATTACTATTACAAACAAGTTAAAACAATTATATTTGTGGTTGAATATTAGTCAAGCCCTGAAGTAGTTCTAAATTGACACCTTCAATTTTATTTCCTAAGGCTTCAGTACTGCAAATGTTACCTGGGCACAGTAGAAAAGGCTGGAAGCATATATACATAAAAGATGCTGAGGATTTTGGTAGCTTTATTATATATTTGACAGTAATGGCTAATATTTGTGCAAACTCTTCATAAATTCAGGTGACAGATTCTAAAGGAGCTAGACGTAATTTACTAGTCTGTAGAGATAAGAGTTGTCCTCTATAATTTATAATATTTTTTATTTAAATAAGGGGTAAGAGCGAAAGTCTGAGAAGCTCGTAGTTCTGTAAGATCAATATGTATGTTTCATAATATTTACACATCCTGCCAGAACATTTACAGAACTTGTAAATTCCACTGAACATCTCGACAGGAACTATCATGGGTTACAAGATTCACTGCACCTACACACTCTGTTGGGACAGGCAGAGTAATGCGTAAACCCTGTGATGGAAGTATCAATACTTCATGATGTTTTATTTAAAACTCTGCTGGGACAAAATCCTGGAACTTGTAAGTTTAGTAAAAAAAAAATTGATATAACTTACAATACCTGCAAGTTCTTTTGGTACAGTCAGAAAAGCTTGTAAATCATGTGTGAATAATAGATACAGAAAAAGATCTTCTGGCACAGATTATATAGCTTATAACAAATAGACATGCAATGTTTGTAAAGTCAACAAAGTAAATAAATGGTTATCTTAAGAGGCTACTAACTTATTATTTGCTGCAAGTACCCTCTTTGATGTTTTGTTCCTGCTATAAATACATAATGATAGTCACTGTATGCCTCTTCTCTGTGTTAAAGTTTCCCATTTTTTAACAGAATTTTCCTTGAAAACCGGGAAACGCAGGAGGTTCAAATACATTGCAGAAGACAAACCCCTCATAACATTAATTCATTTTTAGGAACATTAATCATTTGTTTAATTCTGTATAAGCTAGGCTCATAGAGAAGAATCGAATAATTGCCAAGCAGGCAGGTAATACTCACTGTACATTGCTCAAGTTGCTTTTCCAGTGCTTCTGAATCGCCAAGGGCAGGCCACTCTTCCTTCAGAAAAACATCCACTTCAGCCATCCACTTCTTCAGTGTTTTAGTGTCATTCTGTTTATTAAAAAGACATTTTATTGCATCGCACAGAACCTGACTGACAATAGCGTAATTCGTCCTGGCACTATGACTAAAACTCATCGCAATGTAATTTCAGGATTATTGAACTGTCTGAAAAATACAAACACAGCAAACAAGCAAAACCAATTTTATCTTGGACTGTCATCGACTCTTTAGCCTGCACTCTGACTATTTCTGCCCAAGTTCAAAGTGTCTACAAGCAGGCAACTTTCTGGCTCTCAAGTTGATGCCTTTCGGATATCATTTGTGTTTAGATGCTGCACGTGTGTTCACTGGTTCCTTGTATGGCTTCAGACTACTCATACTTGGCAATTAATTCAGGCTCACCTATCAAATCCTCCTGTGCTTCAATTTAAATTTCAGGCTCCTTTTGGAAGCTGCATGCTGTATTGCCTATTTCTCTACCAGAACACAGCACAGAAAAACTCCCTTACTACTCAGAATGAAAAAAAAAAAAAGTAACTGAAACAGTAATTGAAACAAATTCACATCAGAAACTAAAATCATATGAGTCATTTCAGAGACTGATTCTGTTACTGTCTCTAGTGCTAGAATGTTTGTAATCAGTAATTTGCTTTCCATAATCTTTAATTAACTCTTGCAATTAATAAAAGAAGTTGGAGTTCAAATGCTTGAAATAAGGAACCCTACCAGTTCAAAGAACCATTACATAGATAATCTAATAGCTTCAAAGGCAGGATGAGATTTAAAAAATGTCACTTAAAATTACCTTAGAATGCCACCTTAGGTAAACAATTAGATGGACATATTAAAATAAAAATTACAAATGGCAAAAATTTGAAAGGCAAATTGTAATGCATTTGTTCATCAAATTGTTTTCATCAACAGTGAAGTATATATCAATATTATATGCTGAATGTAAAGTTGAATTGAAGCACAAAAAAGGACATTCCGTTAGCATATAGACTGTGCCCAAAAATGTGTTAAAAAATGCCTTAACAACTATCATGAGATAGATAACCAAAGGCAACATTTTACTATGTGCTTGATATATTTAAGAACAACAATCTACCATGGAAAATTTAAAAAAAACCAAAGCCTGAATTAATAAAAATAATCATACAGAATTATCAGTATACTTCAGAATAGGAATTACCAAAAAACTGTTGAAGTGTCTACTGTGCATTCCATTATCATTGAGTAAAAATATTTCAGAATCATATTTCATGATGACACTTTAATACCTGTACACGAATACTTTAAGTATAGTTCATTAATGCTTCAAAATACAGATCTGATGGGATTTATTTAAAAAGGGATCAGTCTCCAGCGACCAGTGAAGATCGAATGTATGACTTGCATTTTGAACAGACTGTAAATGCATTTTATTTATCAAGACTGATTTCTTTGTATCCCTTGCTGACACATTCCATAAATTGCAACAGCTAAAACAATCGTCTGGAAGAGAAGTCATTCAAGGAGTTGAAAAGACAATTACTTATATATTAATTGTGTACTACAGTGATTTCAGCAATAAATATAAAGGCTAAGATTTGTATGCAAGAGTAGCTCACACAGATTTAAAACTATGTGTTCTACAGAGCATGGTCATGATGTTTGGGACTTTCTTCTTTTAAGAGCAGTGGGGGAACATTGAAACCTCTATCCAGAAAATTCAGGGGGAACAAAAAAAGACAAAAGATTGATTTTTTTTCAAGCAAAATGTATTGCTCTGTTTTGTGCAATTGCAAATATTTCATTATACTATTGATAAAAACACTTTCCAGTTTTCCTATTTATATTGGGTTTATGTGGCAAGGTTTTGATAGCAGGGGTAGCCTCTGTGAGGAGAGGTGAGCTGCCACCCTGTGCTGAACAAAGCTGGTTCCAGCTACCTCCAATGGACCCATCACAGGACACAGCTGACCCCATGGTTGATGCCTCTGTGATAATAAGAGAAATAAGATAATAATAAGAAATAAGAGAATAATAAGAAAGGGTAAAACTGCCAGACAGGCAGGAAAGGAAAAAAAAAAGTGAGAAACAGCCTGGCAAACGCTAGGGTTGGTGAAGAAGGAGGAAGAGGAGGTGTTCTAGGTGCTGGAGCAGAGATTCCCCTGTAGCCCATGGAGAAGACCACGGTGATGCAGGTTGTCTCCCTGCAGCCCATGGAAGTCCATGGTGGAGCAGATATCCACCCTGAAGCCTGTGGAAGACCCTACACTGGAGCAGTTGATGTGCCCTAAAGGAAGCTGCAGCCTATGCAGAGTCCCACACAGAAGCAGATCTTTCCTGAAGGACTGCAGCCCATGGAAGGACTCACGCTGGAGCAGGGGAAAAGAGCGAGGATGAAGGAACAGCAGAGAGGAGCTGTTATGGACTGGCCACAGCTCCCATTCCCCATCCCACTACGCCCCTTGGCAGTAGAGGAGACAAGAGTAAAGCAATAGAGTGCAGACTAGGAAAAAGAAGGAGGAGGAGAGGTGGTGGTTTAATTTTTGTCTTTGTTTCTCACTACCCAAATCTATAATAAATAAAATCAGTTTTCCCCAAGTTGTGTCTGTTTTGCCCACGATAGTAACTGGTAAGTGATCTCCTTGTCTTTATCTCGATGCAAGATATTTTCTGTCCTATTTTCTCCCCTGGTCCTGCTGAGGACAGAGAGTGAGAGAGCAGCTGGGAGGGCATCTGGCTGCTGGCCAGGGTTATCCAACCATACCATTAAACTTCATTTCATGGCCAGCTTCAAACGTCAGAGATGTAGCTATGGAGCCAAAGTCATAGTTTAGAGCAATGTGGCAATTCAGTAGCTAAATTATAAATGGTACAAAATGTTTCCTCCTTTTTTGGTCCATTTTGCTTATGTAAAAACTGATGAAGAGTAACAAAATAATGAGTACTTTTTTTCCTGTACAAAAGCAGAAGTGTAAGAAGACCTTGACAGAAAATTTATTCCTGACCAGACAACTCTATTGAATTAAGCTAAAACTAACAATTACAGTTCACATGCTCTTGTATTATAATTCACAACATGGAGCTAACCATGTATCATACTCTACTACCAGCAAACCAAAGCCAAGGACAGAAATATTTGATATTGTAAATAGAAGAAATAGAGACACAACACTGAGAAGAAACACACTGTGAGAACACACAGCTTTGAGTATGGCTGCAGGACTTTAACCTTGAATTTTCTTTGTGATATCCCCCACGAGTATGCAAGTGCTCATTTGTAGGGGCGCAAGGAGAGAAAAACATATTAAAAAATACTTTCTCCATTTTTGTGACTGGTTGATCCGAATTCCTCTGAAACCTCTCCCTTGAAATTATATAGAAATAGATCAGGAATATGTTAAAAATGGACTTATTTTAAATCTTGTAACATCTAAGTCATAGATATCCCCTGTAATGCTGATACCTGTGATTTATCAATAAGTATAAATAGGAGATCCTCACAATGAGAGAAACAAAGTAAGTTTCCAACGCTGTCATTCTAAATACCTGAAATTCACACAATAGTGTAAGTCATAAACACTTCTGCTTTCTGGCAACTTCTGCCATATTACAAATATGATACTACCATATTACAAATTAATTATGCAGGTGACTCCATGAAAGTCAATATGGTTACAGCTACTTCAGCTGCATGAAAAAGTACTTCAGCTAGATTGAAAAAGTAAGTAGAGGAATATTAGTAGCAATTTCACTGAAATCAAAGTTAAGTTTGCAATTGAAACAACATAGGCAGAAACAGCCACCAAATCAGAATTCAAAGTAAAATCTTGGACCCATCAAAATCAAGCAAGAATTTTAATACATTTTATGTACTGTTTTGATATTTCATTTTGGTGTTACTTTCTTGAAGTGTATAAACGCGTTCCGTGCTAGTCTCAGAGCCACAAACCACCACACAGTAGCTGAGGCTGAAAAATCTGGTTAACCTGAAATCTCTGGAGTTTGGTCATAAGCTCCTCAAGTTTCTGGCAATGTTCCACCAGCTGCGCTGATAATTTCTTCCAGCGGCCAAGGACCACCTCAATCTCTGACTGATATCTTTGGCTGACTTCTGCAGGGGCTTTCCTGGACATGTCTTCCACAGTCGTGCTGAGATAGTTCAGGCCTTTTTGCTGCTCTTGCAGAGAACTTTGTAGAGCCTATGAGTAAGAAGCAAATAGTATCCTGATTCATGTGTCTTGTTTCACAAGCATAGGTGAGACTGCTGAAGAAAGGACTGAAAACTGAAATATAGGTCACCTTTGCTAAAACATCCAATGACATATTCTGCTGAGCAATTTGGAATTGCTTTTTTCACACAAACTAGAAAGTAGATTTTTTTTGTTCAACTGAGAATATAACCAGAGGCATTTACACTTGTCAATAGAGGTGATCCACATACACTTCACTAATTTGAGATAGGAATTTACTATGGCCCTAATGATTACACTTTCAAAAGACTCAGACTATACATGGAGACAAAAATAAACTTAGAATTGCTTCTATGATTTAAACTTTTTGATAACTTCTCAAAACTTTTGCAATTCTTTGCCCAAATTTGTTGCATCTAACTTTTTTTCATTGTTCTACTTTTTATTTCTGCATGTACATTACTAGTTACTTCAAACAACATGCTCATTAGCCATCCAATAGCAGAACAATATCAAATATTGAAATGCAGGCAAAGTTTGTACCCACTGGCAAAATTTGTTCCACATTTGTGTCTGCTTGTAAATCTGACAGGAAATCTGACAAAGCATGTGTTGTATTCTGCAAATCACAATCATTTCCATCAGCACTGGAAAATGAAATGAGCTAAATCTATACTTAACTACCAAAGCTATCGTCAAAGGAGTATTTCATATACCAGGAGAGAAACAAAGGCTTTTCCTTAACATGTTCAATATTTTATAAAATTCTTTTCAATGGTGAAGAACGCTTTCAATCCTTTATCTTTAGGAAGTAAATATCCATCATCTCCTGAAGCCCTTGGCTAAAACCCAAATAGGTATAATTCACTAAATATCTGTACTGTAGACTGCAGCAGACTCATGACAACTTTGCGTTCTGTTCGTCTAAACTTTTCAATTGAGACATTTGTTCCCACAGCCTGACCACTCACCTTGAACTCCCTGAGTCTCTGCTCCATGATGTCATATTCAGCAACCACAACCTGAGGCACGGAGAGTTTAGTTTCTGACTGCTGAATCCACACAAGTATAGTGCTCATTGTCTCTTTGTAGTGTGCAGGAGGCAAACTGTCAAAAACTACATTCAATGGGGAAGAAAAAGGAAAGAAACAAAATAATTTTATGCTTCATTATTTGGTTTGCTGACAGATGTTTGATAAAAGACCAAGCCTTATTGAAGTCAATGGCTATTTTACAACAGATTGCAATAGGCTCAATATGTCAGTATCAGATTTTTCCAAGAATTGTGAAAGCAGGAAACTTTTGAAGAATTAATACACACATTCTAACGTTTATGATATCTCTATAATTTTATCAGTTGTGTGTCATTTGACTCTCTTGTTATAGGTCACAGGACAACTTATATGGCTAAGACAACTATTTTAAATATGTGTGTTTAGACATCAAGAGATAAACCGTTGTACTTAATCCAAAATCTAATTTCAGAAATGCAATAAGAAATAGCATTCCCTTTTATTGCCCATGTTTGTGTGTTTAATTTTTCTGTTCAAGCAAAATGTTCTGTTTAAGACATCTGTTAAAAGCTTAGAAAATTGATCTTTCTTCTGCATTAAAGATGAATTTTATGGAACTGTGCTTATTGCACTGTTACACCTGCTGTAAATAGACAACATCTGGCACACACATGAGCAACTCCTTACTAGAAATATTCCCACTGCCCTCAAAAACAGTTGCTTCTATACTCATTGAAAAAAAGTACAGACAAATAGCATGGCTGGTTGGAAATGAAACATTTCCAACTTGTACCACATAATAATGAAGTATATAAAAGCTCAAAAAAATGTTACACCTATTTGTATCTCCTATGCGTCTCTTGTATTTCAGAAATAACGGTACCAAGAAATGATATAGAATCACAGAATCATAGAGGATCCTGAGTTGGAAAGGACCCATAAGGATCATTGAGTCCAGCTCCTGGCCCCACACAGGACCAGCCGAATCAGAGCATATGACTGAGAGCGTTATCCAGACGCTTCTTGAACTCAGTCAAGCTTGGTGCTGTGACCACTTCCCTGGGGAGCCTGTTCCAGTGCCCAACCACCCTCTCGGTGAAGAACCTTTTCCTGATATCCAGCCTAAACCTCCCTATCGCAGCTCAGGTTCTATCACTGGTCACCAAGGGGAGGAGATCAGTGCCTGCCCCTTCCCTCCCCCTCCTGAGGAAGCTGTAGGCCGCAATGAGGTCTCCCCTCAGTCTCCTCTTCCCTAGGCTGAACAAACCAAGGGACTTCAGCCTCTACTCATATGTCTTCTCCTCTAGACCCTTCACCATCTTTGTTGCCCTCCTTTGGACACTCTGCAATAGTTTTATGTCCTTTTTGTACTGTGGCACCCAAAACTGCACGCAGTACTCGAGGTGAGGCCGCACCAGTGTGGTGTAGAGTGGGACAATCACTTCTCTAGCTGTCCATAAAGGAATTTTGACAAATAATACAGTTAAAGTTTTAAAGCACGAGCTTGTTTACATTTTCATACAGAAGTGCTTGGCAGAATATACTTTAGACTTTAACCTAATTTTTTAGTTAATCAACAGAATGTTACTTGAAGAAAACCACCTTATATTTTCAGTTAGGCATCATAACAACATACTAATATCAGGGCAATTTAAGCTCTCTCTTGTGGAGTATGCACATTGTATGGCATACTTTTATTATAAAAATCTTGGCTGATCTGATTTATCACAGACATCTGGGGATTTACAACAGATAGGACTTGGTACCAGGAAAGACAAGCATTTCATCCCTCATGATGTATTTCTTTATATAGAAAGCAATAGTAATACATTCTTGGAAATGCAGAAAACAAACATTTTCCATCTCATAATATAGCATTTTAAATCTTTTTATTTCCTCAGTGAGATTTGTATTGTCTTTGACTCATTTAATCCAAACAATTCCTACGTTAGAATAGAACACACATTTAAACACATCACTCCAAATTAATGGAGATGTGATTTTAACAGCTCAGACATGATAAAGGAGTATACAAGTCTTAATCTGCAGTTTTATTTAGAAATATGAAATGAAGTTCAGTATTCTGATGCAATGTTTGACTTCTATAAATAATTTTCTTCTTTAAAAGAAAAACAAATCTTAGGACTAATGTATGACTTCAACCAGCTATATACAATAATAGTTATTTTCAATAGTAGTGAAGAGTGCCTCAGAACAGGTAAGAACACAAGATTCACTGTTGCAGCAAACTCCACCAAACTGCATGAAATTCTTATCCTGAAAGTTTGCCAATAATAATAATAATAATTTTAAAACCATCCAAATATTGCAAATGTTTTGTCCAATTTTAATGAATTATGTTCTCTGCTATTTGAAGGATTAAATAAGAGTTCAAGGTGGATCAAATATGTTGATTTAATCAAGCTAGTGTCTTTCCAATTTGGTTATTAAACATCCCATTTAAAAAGCACTTTTCAGTTCAGTGAAACAGGAGTTTTCCTATTTAACTTTTCCAGATTACTAGTAGCCAAATACTACTTTTCAATGCCTAGCTGGAGTTTTTGAGGCTTGTTAGTTTTGTGTGGTGGGGGGGTTTTTTTTGTTGTTGTTTTTGTTTTTGTTTTTGTTTTTGTTTTTTTTTAAGATAAGATAGACAATGTGGTAGTGTTTTCATCCACAAGGAAGGATATTAACTTCTTTTGGGATAACACTTAAAAGCAGCCTATATTGCTTTTTGCAACTCATGATGCCAATGGTGAGAATTCAGTCAAACTCCTACACTGGGATTCATGCTACCTAATTTTAGCTGTCTAAATAATCTAAGACATTTATGGTCACTCTGTGGGCAGTATGAATCTCTAAATTCCCCATGCTCCTAACATAAACACACTTCTAGACCTGTTTATTTTTATCCTAAAATTTGCTTTGTGATGCTAATATTTGTGGATTAAAGCCCACTTGATAAGCACAGTGCATTAATATGGATTCTGATATATTATATGAAGAATTGCATTGGTAGTCAGAAAGATATAGCATGTCTACAACCCAAGCTATAGCTGAGCTAGGCCCAAGACAGAACTGTAACAAAATATCACAGAGGGAAAATACAAATATGTTACTGTGAAATATCACAATACAGTTCCCATCCCATAATAGGAAAATTGTGTTGCATTAATCTATTCCACTTGTAGGGAATGCATTTTGGTGTGACTAACATTGTAACCCTTGAGAACTGACAAGCAAATACATTTATACTTGCATATTTATTTTAGAGAAAGTGCTTAAATTTGGAAATACAATGTGCAGATAGATATTTGGTTAGGATATATTTTTAATATGTGGAAATATTTAAACATCTGAAAATACCTTTCCAAATACGTAAAATACTTTGTTTGTTTTTCCTCCCAGCTTCCTTTTTTGTGACCAGATTTTCCAGTTAAAAATCTTTTCCCAAATGAGAAATGAAATGAGAATACAATTATCTCAACAACTATCAAATCACACTGGCTATGTTGCAATGTGTATCATCTCCTACAGTCAGGACAAATCCCACTGTTCATCACATCATTGTGAAAGAAGAAGAACGGCAATAGTTACAATCTATGAGATAATTTCAGTAAAGACTTATTCCCTGAAATGAATGAACTAGATTGAACTGCATGTATTTCCCATAAAAATCTCCTCAGTAGTAACTGCACTGTTTAAAGCCATGCTGATTTTCTCATAACTTTGTTTTGCTTATTTTGTAGTACAAGTACTTGAAGTTATTCATCATAGCCTTTATATTGATGACTTCATAAAATCTGTGATTCCCTTCTCCCACATCTTTCACCAGAAACTCTCAGAGTAGCATCATAAGGAATCTTGTATAGTACATAATCAATGGCTCCACCAGTCCCACCCTCAGAGATACTGCAAGTGCTTTAACACTTCAATTCTCTTATTTATTAACCTCTTAAAAGAAATGGAAGAGAAGGCCTTCTCCAGTTCTACAAGATCTAATGTAACAATAAATATCTTTTAAAGATAAAAAAATCTTTAGGGGATTTTATTTCCCATCCTTATAAATTTCCATTTTTACCACAGAGGAAAAAGATAAAGTGACCTAGACCGTAGAGGACATTATCTCATACACATTCATATCACAGGTTGTTTTTGTCCCTTCATTCTTTATTTAAATAAAAAATAATTACTGGAAGACATGGAAGCAAAAGAAAAATGAAATTACTTCCATGTTACTTATTAAAACAATATTTTCTCACACACATCTGAGCTGTATCTTCAGCAAAAAAAGGTACATTCAAAGAAACTTCAGTGAACTTTATCCTTCAAAACCAAACAACAATGAATATTTTTGCTACTAAATAATTGTTCAGGTCTTAAGAAAAAATTAGTTATGAAATTTATAGGACACTTGCTTGAACTTTTACTTCCTCAAGTATGTAATGATTGGTGAAAGATTATTATTCATATCATAACAATTGCATTGTCACTTATAATCCATCTCTAAGATACTTAGAGCATGAAAATAAGTTAGCAGTTCAAATTTTAAGCAAAAGTAGACAAATGATAGACTAAAACTCAACATGGTCATCATACCGTTACGGTTAGTGTGGTTTGTTGTCTTACAAAATTATGCCAAGACTGAGTTGCATGAACTCTATGTAATGCAACCCTTTTTCAGATACTGTATTAGCAGATTAGAGAGAGAAGTGGTGTACGTGCAAAATAACTGTAAGCACGGGGTGGGTAAATAAAAAGTCTAAAGAGTCTTGACATGATATAGAAGGCAAAAACTTTCTAAAGTCCTTCTTGAAATAAATAAGAAGAGAAACATAATTTAAATGCAGATGAATGATTCATGAATAATAAAAACAACACCACCACCACAACCACCACAATGATGACTTCACCTTCAGGAATTACTGATCGTACAAAGGCAGAATCAGAATTTGAAAGGAAAACACGGTGCATCAATTCACAAAGCAGAGGAAAATGGAAATAAGTATGAATTTTCCTTTGCCATCTCCATCATGATATTCTTAATTTCACCTGCCACAAAAGGTGATTGGTTTGGTTTTGGGTTTTTTTAATTACTTTCTAAAAATCTAATGACACTTTGCAAACCCCCTCTGAAGAACAGTCTTGTCAAACTGAGAGCATGTGTCAGAATTCTTCCAACTGAAGACCACAGCTGGATAAAAGTTCACTGCAGCAAAAAAAAACCCAAAAAAACAGAAGCACTTTCGTGGAGTTTAGTCCAGTAACAGCACAAGAGAATTGCTGGAATGAATCAGCTGCCACCTGGGCAGTTGTTAGAGCCAGAGGGAACTCACCTGACACTGACCGAGGAAGGTGAGAGGGAATGGGAGGCTGATCAGGCTGCTCCTTAGAAATCTCTCTGACACGGCAGCAGTTAATTTCAAGACAACTAAATATAAACTTCAACCTCTCATTTTTCACCAGGGCAATGATAAAACTAAGAATTTCCTTGGGAAATCAGATTATTCATATTCAAATTATTGCAATGATTGTCCATTTCATTCCCTTGCCTACATTGCCGAATAGTTTGAAGCACTGCCTGACCTCTTTTTTTTTCCTGTATACCAGTATTCAAGAAATTACTCTAATTTGGGGAGGAGGAAGAGCTGGAGTGATAGATACACCATCTTCAAAAGGATCAATTACCTACGGATATAAAGACATTCTATAAAGTAAGAAAAATGAGATCATATTTCCTCATATTTTATGAGGTTGTATTGCTTTCACAAACAACATTGCAAAATAGTGTAAAAACAACCAAACAGGTTTTGGAATTGGGTTTAAATTAGGTTTTATAACTGGAAATGCCAATCAAATCATGGATAAATGCATTTGAGAAAATCTGAGTTAATCTTTAATAATATTTTATTAAGAAATCTACTATGTAGCAGAGAGAAACTACTAAGCACTCTTGAACCTAAAAATACCCTAACTAAACCAAAAATATTTGAGGGAGACAATCTCCTAGAAGTAGAGGAAACTTTTTTTTTTTTTTTTTAATGGGGGGGGGAGGAAATTCCCTTGGAAAACAGAACAGAATAGCTAAATAACCTTCGCCATCAGAAAAGACAATGGAGTAATGGAACATTAAAAAACGCAACCAAAACAAAACAAAAAAAAACACCGAACAAAAACCAAACCTAAACCTCTAATGATGAATCAAAAATCCTTTTAACATAAGAAAACACTAATGATGAATCAAAAAAATCTTTCTAGCATTTGTAGATTAAATGTACAGGGAAGAAAAAAGGGCAAATACTACCACTGATCTGCAAAACATCATTCAGTCTTTAAGAAATCTTTCTATCTGTAAAAAATAATTAATTGGAAATAATTTATGCAAATAAAAGATGGAAATATCTAAAATGCTCTAGCAAAATTTTGACATTTTCTGTTAAAGACGTGGGGTATGGCCTTTTCTCCATCCGTTTAACAGAACAAAAATAATCATTGAAGAAAGCAGAAGAAACCCAAAAAGCCAATTTTTGTGCTTCAGCTTCAAGGTTGGTTCCCTCCCCCCCATTTTTTGATTCATAAGACTTTCCTGAAACAGGATTAGACCTAACGTGGTATCCCAAGCAGGATTGTTCATATCTACAGTAGAGTTATGAAAGGAAGTTAGCACTTTGGATAAAACTGTGTATAAAATTTCTGAAGATAAAATATGATTGACATCATAATCTCACCTAAAATACCACTACAGGTATGTAGTGTGTGGAATAAAATGGTCTCATTTTGACAGCTGAACCACTTGAGATGAAGCGCCTGTGATGCAGAGCAGCCACATAAAATAACACCACCAGCCCAGGACTCCATAAAATACTGATTCAAGGAGTTCTGTTCTCTAGCAGTCCAGGAGACTCTCCCCAGTCTGCTCAATGCTGCGGCCTCCGGAGAGCTGCTTTCCGCGTGTGCCAGGACACGGGAGGAGCGTGCCGCGGCACAGGAGTGGGAACGAGCAGCTACAGCCAACAACAGCTACTTGAGCAAAGTCCCTGCTTGGTGGCGTTACGGTGACGGCAATGAACACTACTTGTCTTACAGGACTAACCAACGGGTTAGTTCACAAGGTCTCGCTGTAGTAAAATTAGGTGAGGCAAAGCCAGCAATTACACAAAATTGGATATACAAGAAATCATAAAGAAGCTAGGATTTACCATATTTTCCTGTTGGCAGAATGGTAACTGATTTCAGCATATAAACTCGTGTGGCATTAAAAATTTTAAAATCTTATCCATTGTATGGCCTGACTTTAGATTCATGAATAAACTTTACGCTTCTTGATACTAAATTTCTATGGCTTGTTCTTTCCTCACATGCTGTGACACACTGGCATTTTATTTCTTCAGTTCTCCTATGCACCTTCACCTCTTCGGTTTGCATGTCTGTGCATGTGTGAAAAAACTACAGCAGCACAATAATGCAGTGTCGTTGAAAAAATAAATAAATACGTCTTTAAAAATGGAATCATGTCAAACCTCTCCATGAATGTATTTAGGAGGAATACTACAAAAATCCACTAGAAGGAGCTAGCACTATGTCTAATTAGAAAACAGTACAATCATTTACAGATATCATTGGTTTAAGCGACAAATAATCTCTTTGCTGTTGAGAAAAATTATATTTTTATCTGATACTTTATTTTTAATTTCATAATCAAATACAGAAAGTGTACAGTAGTCACTGACATGCTACATATCTTTAATAAGGAATAAAGTTAACTTTCTATTTCGGTATAGTGTTTTCCCTTTTTTGAAAAATGCATTTTATTACAAATATTGTAAATAATGTTATAACTAGCAATCATATATTCTTTGTTGCAAAAAAAAGGAACAGTTCACCGGATGATGAAAAACTACATATCCTAAAGTAGCTACTCTCTTTGATGAGCTTTATGGAGATAAACTTCTGTTCTATTAAAATCTAGAGCAGATTCAGTCCTGCAATTAAACTGTCTCTCCTCTCTACTGACAGAGGTAGACAGCCCTGTCTCAGAACCCAACTTAACAAAGACAGTTTCATGTTGCCAAAAAATATCATTGAATTTGTCTGTAAATATGCTAACAAGAGGACATCTGATGATAGAACTACATCGGGTACAACCTTTGCTTCTGAACAGTGTACCTTCCCCGTTTTCCTATTAATATAAAATATATAATGCATTGATAATTTCTGAAAGACTAATTCAATTGCAAAAAAGACCACCTAAATTGTACTACTAGTTTAGTAAGACAAAAATCAAATACGAAAGTAGGAAAGCAAAATACATAGACCTAGCAAAGCATGCTAGTCAGGCAAATTGACTTCTTGTCATGAGCACTTACTGGTCTGTAGCTGCTTTTCTCTGGCCTGCATGTCAGCAAGTATTTGTTTGAAATGGCTGGTAAAAGCAGCAAGGTCAGCATCCAGAAACACCGGCCCTTGTTCTTTCTCTTTGAGCTCTTGGCTTTGAGCCTTTAGCCGTTCAATTTGAGGCTGAAGGGTTGACATTCGGATGATTTCATCCTGCATTTTTGAACAAAAACCATCAAGATAAAGCTGTCCAACAAATGAAACCACTAGTGCCATGAAATCAGCAGTTTCAATGCACCTTACACAATTGTTTTTCTTCCAACTACATCAGTTACAATAAGAACAAATTCAACATTTTTAGTAATTTCTCACAAATCCGTACCTCTGCTCCCAATATGATGGTCTCACCATTGTTCAAAGTCACTTTCACATGACATTATCATGTTAGTAGTGTAGTGCTCAAGGAAAACGAAATTGCATATTAAAATTCCATGCTCAAGGAACATCCTTTTCATGTGGAGCTGGGAAGATAAAAACTCCACATCCCATAATCCTTGACTCATCTCTGTTAGATTATATACAGGCTAAATAGCATGAAGTAGAAAAGGAGAGGTGAAGATGCACAGCGATTTCTAGCAGCCCCACAATAACACATTACAGGTTGGGGCTGTGCTATTATACCTTCAGGAGACCTTGTGCACACTGTGACACTTGCAACTACTAAGTAAAAAGAAATGAGGAAAGTACGCCAAATGTACAGTTCGTATTAGAGCTACTGTAAGAGAAACTTTCTGCAAGAAAACAGAGAACCCCTGTAAGCACAATGTCAGCTTGGAAATGTCTAAAAATAGAAGTAATAGCATAGATTTAAATTTGAGTTTCAAACACTGCTTTCAGTTTGAGAGCTTCCGGAGCCAGAGATTTCATAAAGTTAAACTTCTACAAGTATGTTGTGCAATTTATAATTCATTACTACGTCTCAATAGATTCCTGTCAAAAAAAATATTAGCTTGTAAGTAATCTCCACCCACAGAGTTGTCTACAGCAAGAAGTATAAGCAGATTTCTATAATGGTGCAGCACACAAATGAAAACATTTAGGGAGAATAATAAGTGAATTGGTGTGACCGTTTTTGTACAACTATTGCAATTCTGTCATATGATGACAGAAGAATATTCCTCCATTTGACTACACAATCCACTCAGCATCAAAATGGAAGGCATGTCACAAATAAAGTAGTCTGTAATGGCAGAATTTTGGACTTGACCATGGAGACAATTTTCTGGCCCAGAGCCTTAGGACAGAGGTGATAAGCAACAGTTTCTTAATGAAGACCTAAAGACACAGATTCTTACAGGGGAAGAGAAAAAAAAAAAAAAAAAAAGGAAAAAGAGCGTAGTGGGAAAGTTGCCTAGCTTTAGGTATCTAAGTATTTTAATAACTAGATATCTGTGGCAATAACCATATGCTAGGTTCTCTTGCCTCTTTATTTCTTTACCGGTCTTTCCTTTTCCTGAATAAATATTTTCATTCATTACCTTGGAAAGATAAGGAGTCTGTTTTTCACTTTTATACTGAACCACTGTAGGTCATAATCTGGCCCACTGTTGGAACACCTACGAAGTACAATATCATAAAAAACTTGGAGAAGGATCTCTAACCTTGCATTTTTCCAGCTGCGTTTTTACTGTGGCAGGATCTGTTGCTGGTGTGGGTTGTGCTTTCAGCCAGTTTTCTGCAGTAATTGCTGTCTGCTCCAGTTGCTGCAGCTGGGAGTAGAAGTCAATGATGTTATTTTGGTACTCCAGCCATGCCAATCTTTCGCTCAGCAACTGACAGAACTCAATCCAGCGGCTCTTCAGCTGCTCTGAAGCTTGTCTAATGTTGTCAGCATTCAGACCCTCTAGAAAGAAAACAAGAGCAGAAGTTTGACACTTAAAGAAAAATAAGTCACCAAGAAAAAAAAAAAAAAAAGTAAAATAATTTAACAATTCAATTTCTGTATTTGAGACCTCATAAATCCAGTTAATGATTTATCATCAAATAACAGTCCTGAACATACAGATGCTACACATTAGTGGAGAAAGCATTTAAAAAATATTTTAAGTTGCTGCCAGGATACTTTTGTTGCTATGGGAATGAATTATAAAGTGCATTAAAGTATAAGAATAGGAATAAAACGGAAAGTAGAGATATAATACATAAAGCTAATTAAAACTGCTGTAAGAAATAAGAAAATTCCTGACAGCTGGAATTTTAAAACTATGTCTGGACTGTAATTAGATTTTATTGTACAAGACTTTTTTTTTTTTTTTTTTTTTTTTTTTAAAAAAAGCCTTTTTTTTTTTTTTTTTTTTTTTTTTTTTTTAATAAAAAGACCGAGTTAAATGAGTGGGAACTATATTCCACAATTATTTTGATGTTTCTAATAATCCCTTAAGTTTTGCATTACATGTTATTTTAGAAATATCATAAGCACTAAGAAATAAACATATGAGCAGATCAAGCCTCCAGCTAGACCAGTTCCGTGTGTCCAACAGTGACCATCAGTAGACATTAAGCAAAGACTGAGCCAAGAAACCATAGGTGACACTTCTCTATGATTATTTTCAGATGTTTGGTTTCTCCGATATAGTTTGCCTATTTCTAGTGTTCAATAATCATGCTTAAATTAAAGTTCATAAAAGAAAACTGACTTTAGTTATTAGAGATAAGGTAATTATTCAGAACTATTTAAAGTTAAAAGAGCTCTATAAATTCCATGAAGAAAGTAAGGCAACACATAACAAAGATAAGCAAAGTGGTCTTACAATAACATTATAATTGTTCCGAAACTTGAACTCAGGTTGAGTTCAAAATATTAACTTAAGCATCTCATTTATTTTTCAGAGAAAGTTTAAATGTAATCCCTAACCTTTTTTATTGGCATGACATGTAATGATACACATAGCAATAGGACTGATATTGATTTCAAAATTAATACCCATTAAGTAATGCTATATGCTTAATAACATTTTTAATAACATCACTTAGTCATATACTAGTCAACTATTAAAACAGAAGCTATGTTTTTATCAAAAAATTTAATCAAATTTATTGTGTTTTGCTATTTCTTAAAAACAAATGAGATAAAAGCCTTCAGTGCTACACTCCCATGATTTTGGATACACTGTCAATAAGGTTTATCTTGTTTGTAACTTGTACTCCCAATCTGCAGGAAAATTTCTTTATCAGGGATGAAAGGCAGTAAAGTTCATGTGCAAGTTTTGAAGGTAGGACATAGGAAATGGAGTCCTAATTACAGCTAAATGCCTTAAACAAAAAAACCCTAATTACCAGAAATTTATTACAATAAATTTTTCTAAAGAACTACTATAATGCATGCTATATGGTAAAACACACTAAATGATAATCTGGGATGCTGTCTGATGTGGACTGCAACAGTTCTCTGCAAATGCTGTTCGGGATTCAGCTCAGAACTACTCCATCCAGGGTCGCTTGAAACACCCCACTTGGAAACAGACTGTGCAGTACCTGATAGCAGTTCCCTGGACACGCTCTGTTTCTAGGATGTTGCCCTAGCCAAGAAAATTGTACATGCTTTCAGAAAGTACAAGCAAAAATGTAGAAAGATAGGAAGCCCAGCACTACTGGGACATAATGGCAACTGTGGTGGTTGGAGCAGCTATACATACACATTATTATCCGGAAACTGGATGGCACAATTTAAAGGCTGAGCGAGGATATAAAATGAACTTTAAAGCATAAAGAGGTAATCAGTACTTTGACACATCTCAAAATAATCTAACAGTGATCTGGTCTTTTGTGTGCATGTGTTTGCATCTGGAGATGCAGTATGCATAACAACATTTTCTTAAAGTGGAGTGTCTAATTAACATATAGTAATATGGAGCAGCATAAACCTGAATGGCATAACATGTCTAATATCAACAATCAAGGATGACCAGGCACATAGATACTGAATCTTACCAACAGGAAGAACAAACCAATATACAGAAGATGAGCCTTTAACTATGCTATATTTCAAGAATTGCTTCTGTCCTGCTGTGACTGTTATAAAAATGCTGTATACTCGTAACAGAGCAGGTATCTTTGCCACTGTGTTTTCTGAAACTCTGAACCTGGAAGGCACTGCCTATATGTTTGGCAGAGTAGATATAAAAAGATTGCTTTTTTTTTTATTCCTCCTTTACTCTCTTTTCAGCTGCCACAGTCTCCAAAGTACCCTTCGGCAAGATTATAATTACCAGGGGAAGTGCAGTCACGGATTCTCCTTACATAATACTTTTCACCGTAATGTTTTCTGCAAGGATTCGGAGAGGATTGTATTTCAGGTGAAAATCTAAGTTCATTAGATCCTCTTTTTCTTCTTTTCACTCATATGTTGCTCTTAACATAACATTTAAGTATGTGAAAATGCCGAATATTATTAAATTTTCTCTAATTCGTTATTATCTAAACTTTGAATCTAACTGTGATTCCACAAGTGCAAGTTTTTTGCTCTTCATGTGACTGAAGTGGATAGATTGGAATGTGCAGAGCCATGTTTGGTAAAATACTGCAGAGGTGCACCTCCATTAGGCAACACAATATCCTACTGAAAGGAAGACTCATCTGAAAAATCTCCATAAGATGCATTTTTGAAACTATCTTAATTCACAGTCCTCTCAGGTAACTGAAAGTGGCCTATCAGATGTCAGTCGTCATTTCCAGAAGGATGAGAAAAAAAGGCCATTACTTGCACTTGAAATGATTTGGGTAAATTTCTCAAAATTTTGTCTTATTTTGAAAAAAGCTAGTCCTCCATCTCATTGAAAATGACAAATCAAAACTATTTGAGTAGTTGATGCAATGAGGGTATCATTTTAATATTTTTATTGGTTCATTAAATTGGTGAAAATCAAGAACTTGAAACTTACTTCCATGATAAGTACTGATTTCTTCATTATCTTTAGAAACTTTAGCAACCACCAGCTTTCATTGATGATGATAACATCAGTCCCTTTATTCTGCTTCACTCATGGCAGCAAGACATACCAAAAGTTGACAGGCAGGCATAGAAAAAATATAAAACCCATTCTCTGGTAAAGCAATATTATTTTAGGAATAACGGCTCATAATCTTTTCATGTTTCATATTCTAAAAGCTTCTGATATAGTCAGTGAATAAATATACTGTACCCAGAGGAAACAGATCATTATCTGAAGTGCATCCATTAATTTTATTACCTTGTGTAGTGTGCATAACAAATTGTGTCTGAATATTTTTAATTGTGCAGCACCTTATATGCAAGTACTTTGGAATTGCCACTTAGTATGAAGTATGTCTTATTAAGTGCATTTATCATTTGCTATGGTTCTATGAAAGAATAATGTAATATTATTTGTGTTTTTATGGCTTTTTACTCATAAGCATATGTGAAATGGTAACTCACAAGATAATATATTTCTTCCACAGAACAGTGGCACTTAACAATTATGTGTTTTATCACAACAAATTCATTTGTATTCTCTTTAATGCTGCCTATCAAAATTCTCTGATTATTCATTTTGGTGTCCTATTGATTTTATTCTAAACTGCTATAATAGTCAAGTGTCCACCTAAGCTGCTAAACTGCTTCACTCATGCATCAGCAGATTTGTTATTCTATTTTAGAAAAAATTTAGAAAAGAAAAACAGAATAGTTTTCCTAGGAACACTGGTAAACAGAAGATGTAAGTTTTCATTGATTGTAATCATCAGACTTCTTTAAAAGCATGGGCAAGGAGAGGCAGAGCATAGCTCATGTAGAAGATGGGTGGTTGGGTCAAAGACTCATCCAGCAAAAGCATCACTGATTTCCTGTGTGATGGGGAAAGTCCTCCAGATGGCAATATCCAGACATGCTGCTTACAAACACAAGAATAGCTGCATTGTGTGAAATGGAAGTTCTTTCTAGTGCAAAATACTTTTGCTGACAATGGCTGAAAACACTTATATAAGGCAAGAATAGTGCCCTGTATAAATACATTTCCTCAGAATATTTTCCTCTGTGCTAAGGAATAAATAAATGAAACCCTAAACAAATCAATCCAACTCTCTCCAGAATTTGAATTCTATTTTTTACTTGTTCCCCCCTCCTATCACAGCAAAAATAAAAGCAAGAAAATAAATATAAATGATACAACAATTAAATTCAACACCATTCTGAACTCTCCATTATAATCCACCAGAGGTCTTCATCTTTTTATGCTCTTCGTCTGTTACATTCAGAATCTTGTTTACGAGCAAAGAGGAAGAACATCTTCCTCTAATCATTATTAGTTCAGATCAAATTGATACACAATAAATAAAAAATAACGTCAGTTAAAACTGTCATCACTCAACATCACAACTGATCTATGCCTCAAATCTGTTGGCCTTGTGTAGTCTTTTAATAACAGATTACACTGTAAATGCATGACAATCATCAATTTTATCACTCACTGTTTTTCTCTAAGAAAGTACCACACAGTATAAGGATGGGAGCATCATCATTTCTGATTTGTAAATGGTGGTACTTAAAAAGGTTTTATATTCAAGGTAACATAGTACATCTGCGTGTCTCCCACAAATCCATAAAGGCACATTAATTCCAGGTCCTTCCTATATTATGGAAAAGAATTCCAGCATTAGAAGAGGAAAGTATGTAGGCATAGTCAGTCTGCTCTGTTGAACCTTATTTTGGAGATTCATCAAAACTTTCCTATGCTAAATACTTTCCTCTTGTTCTTACTGAATCCAGAAATTGACAACAACAAAACACCCCCACCCCCCCCGCAAAAAAAAAAAAAAAAATAAACCAACCAACCAGCAAACAAAAAACAACCAGAGATGAAGACTGTATGTCCCAAATTAATTTCC